ATCATCTGATAGCCAACTTTTTAGATTTCAATTTCAATATGGGAGTTTCGAGATTGTAACTCTCCTACAACAGAGGTGCAAAAAGTATCCATTTCAGCATGGAGGTGGGACAGGTTGCTTCTGTATACAAACATGCATAAATAAATGAACGTAAAATTTATTTTAAATTTATAGAAAGATAATAATGTTAAACAGTGATGCATTTGATGATTTTATTAAGCTCAACTTTGCATATATACAAATTTAACGTTGTAGTCTTTATAAAAAGTAACCAATTTACTTAATTGTACAAACATTTTCTAAAAAGTCAATGGTTTTTTGAAGTTAAAATAAGGAAAAAAATCAATGTGTAATTTAGATTTTTCGACATGCAATGATCGAATGCATGTGTACTGTATTTATTAGGAATCCATATCTCTCCCTTTGTCTGAAAAGTTTCACATCCACTCAGGGATCGACACTAACTTGAAAACCATAGTTGTCAGCAGGGGTAGCCATTTCTAATTTCTACTAGCCCTGTTCATGTATTACTTGTCCAACAGCCAAAGATTGGTGACCGAGTCGTGAAGCGACGAGGGGGGTAGGTGTGGGAGGGGATTTCCCCCTCCTGCTGGTGGGGGTATGGGGGGCCTCCCCTGGGAAATTTTGAAAATGAAGATGCAAAATCCTGCATTCTGGCTTTGGTAAAAATACTCTATGATTGTACCTAGGACAGTTTCTCTATTCGAAAAATTCCATATTTATAATCATTTAGGGTATTTCGAATCACCTTTAAAGTTTACATTTTGATTTACAAAAATAATAATTATGATGATAAAACAGGTTTGAAAATAGATGTAACAATTACCAGGTATATTGTGTGTAAATTATAATTATTTTCTTGCTCTTGGTGAGTAATTGGTAAAATTTACTGTAGCCCTGCAGGGCAAGTTTAAAGACATGTTTGGTAGCCCGACCTCAGTATTCAGTTGTCCCGGGCCAGCGGGCTAGCATTAGTGTCGAACCCTGCCACTGCAGAGTTTCCGAAAACCAAATTTTTCTATCAGTCATTCGGACTGATGACTTAATGTGTTCTATCAGTCCGAAACATATTCTATCAGTCCGAATAAATTTTAAAATATACAGTGTATTTCTCATGTCAGATGTAATTCAAAGAAAATGGCATTGAATATTTTAAAAAAATTGTGGCTCACAAACACTGATTGTGATACCAGGAATATAAAATGCAACTATATTACAGTACCGACCAGACCCAACCTGACACCCAAGCAGTCCCAGAAAGCAGTCCCCGGGACTGCTTTGGGACCGCTCTGGGACTGCTGTGGGACTGCTATGGGACCGCTGTGGGACTGCTCTGGGACCGCTGTGGGACTGCTCTGGGACTGCTCTAAAAAGCAGACCCAGCAGTCCCAGCAGTCCCAGCTGTCCCTGGGACTGCTTTCTGGGACTGCTTTGTTCACTCATGTGTGAAAAAAGGTTCTGAGTGACATGACATGATAGCTCCGCCCCTTTGTGTATTCTGAATTTGCAGGTCCCCTGTTGTTTTGTTTACTTGCAGCAGAGATGAGTTTAAACTGTTTAAAAAGCAAGGATTTCTTACAATCTTTTAATAAGTAGAGATTATTATAGTTAATTAATATTTACTTAAATTGTATATTTATATGTAGTTTAGAATAAACTTTTAAAAAATAAACTTGTTAAATAAGGAAGTCAGGAGAAGAATAATTTTTTCCCTAAATATAAGATAAGGTTTATGAGAAAAAAATATCTACATGTAGGCCTTTTTATTACGGGGGTATTAAATGTAAAATTAAATACTAAAAATTTGCATTTGTACTATTTAAAAATAATTATTACAGTTAGATATAAGATTTTTAATTAAAAAGGTATATGTTTTTAACCCTCAAATATAAAATCTCACACTTTATTAAATTACCATGAAATAAAATTAATGCTTCCATTAATTCTTCCGTAACATAAACAATGTGGAAAATCACTGGGGAAATTATTAATGAATTACCGGTAGTTTTTGATTTATAAACAAGTTATTAAGAAGTACATCAACTTCAAAAATAAACAGTTGAAAATTCCGGGAATTGTGATTTAATTCTTTTTTGTTTTGCGCCTGTTTACACCGCTGATTAATGTGTATAAAAATGGTATCAACACCCGCGATTTCAATCGCCTATGGGAAGAAAATCAATGCATGTTATTTGGGTATACATATCAGCGTTTCACATCATTTAACATGCTGGTAAACAATGACCCTAATTTCAATCTATGTAATGCAAAAATAAAATTGATAAATGAAATGTGTATGACTTTCTTTCAGGAATAATTAATTTTGAACATAATCTGAGGGCTCCATTCGGGTGATTTACAGATATACACTCTAACATTTACAAAAAAGCACTTAAAACTTAAAGCACAATATTATAGAGACAGAGAAATTTAAAATAATTAAATTGACATGTCAGTAAAAATAATCATTACTGAAAATTAATACTTTGCAAAATCAACAAAGAATTTTTTTTGAAAATCCCCATTACTTAAGAAAATTTATTAGAGTATCCCGATGATATGGAAATTGGCCATATAACGATAAGAGCTATTTAAAGCTAATTCTGGTGTAAAATAATTAATTCACGTTTAATTTTCTGTCTAGAAAATAAATATGGGAAGCAATATCAATTACAGAAAATAAAGAAATCGTATTATTAATATACCAGATAATTGTGATTTATTTTAATTAATAAATAATAAATTTTAATTAATTTTAATTCAGGACTGCTCTGGTGTAATATTCATGTTCAGTTTAATTTCATATATGTACGTGTGAAAGCCTTTTTCATTCAATTAATATTATTTCAATTTTGTTCCCATGCGCGTACTCTTCATTAATGACCTTCGCACACATGAAAGGATTCCAGGCATACTACCCAGAATCAAATTCTACAGCCTTTTATAGTTCCATTGTTAATTGGGAATCTCATTTCTGAGTTAGCTCTGCCCATTAAATAAATAAACCCCGCCCTCTGGGACTGCTGGGACTGCTTTCTGGGACTGCTGGGACTGCTCTCTGGGACCGCTGGGACTGCTGGGACTGCTGTGGGACTGCTATGGGACCGCTGTGGGACTGCTCTGGGACTGCTGTGGGACTGCTTTAGCAGTCCCAGAAAGCAGTCCCCGGGACTGCTCTGGGACTGCTTTGTGTCAGGTTGGGTCTGGTCGGTACTGTAATTCAAACATGGCACCAGGTCACACAGGCTTGTGGCAGCAATAAAGTCACTAGCCCCAAGTAAATGTTGGGGGAAAGAAACAACTAATTACAAAAAAGTTAATTTTTGGAAAAGAAATCTTCTCAAGGTTTCTAGAATTCTTTTTAAAATTTAAAGTTTAATTCTCACTTGTAAATTTGAATCATATATAAATAGCAGTAGAAATTCAAAATAAAAGTAAATTTTAAAAAATTATCTTTACGTTTTCTCAGTGGGCATTGCACCTCATGACCTATATACTGCATGTGTTTACCAATAACAGAGGAATGGAGGAAATTCGAATTAGGAAAAAACGATCCTTTTTGGAAGTAAATAAGTGAAGCAGAACTGCAAAATGGATAAGATAATGGATATTTACGAAGAATAGGAGTTTGCTGCATTGAAATTTTTCATTTATGAAGATATTGCAATAGATTAGAGTACAATAAATTAATCAGGACAAGCCCTCACCACAATCGGTCACACGGACCGATACTGTGGTGAATTTCATCGAACATTTTGATTTTCTATCGGTTTTGCCGGTAGGACCGATAGTTTTCGGAAACTCTGCACTGACATTTTCTTTTTTGTTACAATTTTTTTTGCTTAAAATATGATGCCTTTGCATTAATTCAGTTATTCTCGAGTTGTAGAGTGTATCCTGACAATCATGTAGCTATGATAAACCAGTATATTGATGATGCAATGTATCCAATATATAAATATCTGTTGCACCTGTCTAATTACGCGGCAACAAAACCCCCCTCTTCAATGAAATAGCGCACCAAGGGAGATACATCTCGAAAGTTGCGTATTGAAAAGAAGCTATTCAATTTAAGATATTCTCATCAAATTTCATACACTAATACAGATTTTCCTGTTGCATTACAAATATACCCTCGCTGGGGCATTCATATCCTATGGACATATTTCTTGTTTCTTGAAAATTATTTAGAATTATATATAAGGTTAACAAAAATACAAAATTTATTATGGCTGACCACATATATTAAACAGAACAGCCTTTTGAACATGTATACCCCCATAATGGGTATATCAGATTAAAAATTCTTCGCAAAATTTTGAAAAAGTTAAGTGTAAGAAGATGAGTCTTAAAATCAATAGATCTCAAGTTGGTTTTTAATGAAAAAAAAATTAATGAAGCTTTAGTTCCAGAAAGCAATTAAAGAATTTTGTGTCTTTGTGTGTATAAAATTATTTAAAAATCCATTGGACAGTGTGCATAGTGTTAATTACCATAAATAATGTATATAAGATGCTTTGTATGTGCAATGAAACTATAATAAACAAATACCTACTGTCATAACTTGTTTTGTTATTAACCATCTAAAAAGATTAATTTAATAGACAAGTGATAACTAGAATTTCATATCAGTGTAATGCAATTAAAACCGGATTTGTAAAAGTATGGACCTTCCTTAATTGTTGCTATTTTGGATTTCTTCTATGTTATGGTATTAAAGATAGAGACTTACAGAAAAGGAACATTCTGAAAAGTTATTTAAAATAAGTTTAAAGGTTTTACTTTGTTATCAAGGGTAAATTTCAAGATTTATGGTAAGTGATTTAAATTATGCAAATTATAAAGAGAGATTGGAATGTCTTGCAAGATTCGACTAGTTGCAAATCTGTGTTATTTATGTCTCTGAATATATTAAGAATACATAATCAAAAAAATTTACAGGTAATAATGCCATCTAGTTTTCCTTAATGAATTTACAGGAAATAAAATCAAAAGATTTGCAAATATAATTGATTCCACTAGGTAAGTATGCATGCATGTAAAATTATTCAAATATCGGTACATGTATTGCATTTTATTAGTACAATATTTATTTTTCTTCTGTTTTAATTCAGCTCTACTCCAAGTAAAATGATAATATCATGACAATATCATATCTTTGTCAGGTATTTTTTTTTCATCAATTACTTTGTTGTGTGTTCTCCTTTTTACAGGTATGTCCATGATGAGGAAAGCCCAGGATGTCAAATCATATTTCAAAACAACAGATTTTCAAGGCAAGACATTTAAGAGTTTTAAGATTTATGTTTGTAAACTATTCAGGCCTTGGAGATAAGTGAGAATGAATATATATTTTTATTACTTTGACAGAAAATACCGACCTGAGATTGAGAAATTTATAGCACAGCTGATGGAGAGAGATGCTTGTGATTCAGAAGTTCTGCCTGATGTAAAATTGAAGGTAAAATATTCTGAGATGAGTGTGAATTTATGTTTTACTTAGCTCATTGAACCCAAGTGCCTTCTATATCTAAGATAAGCACCAGCAGTGATTTTCAGCTTGTGCCTCAGACAAATTTTTATCAGGCTTCCTGCTTTTGATGGAACATCAAAAAACAAAAAAACAGTACAGTCAATACTCCTTTATTTAAGGACATAGGCAATGTACCTTTCCTTTTGATAATTTTTCATGGTATTTCTTAATTTAAGATTATAGTGTCAATAGCATATTAAGATGTTCATAGACCAGAAATCAGCAAGCATTAAGGGTTTTTTTTGTTTGAAAGTCATCAATTGATGAAAATTCTTGGATGATTCAAAGAAAAATATATAAAAATTACTAAACATATTTCTAGATGTTTTTTTTCTAAAATCCAAACTTGTTTTGGAAGAAGTGTACAACACCATATATAGACATTTACAGTCCCTGAAACGTTCTACTTTCCCACCTGAACTATGAACGAACACTTAGCAAACGGTGAGTGAATGATGTGCGAACGCTGAACACAACTTGGTGAACGATGTGTGAATGGTGAACGGTGAGTGAACGCAAAACGCGAAAGGAGCCCGAATGCGAGCGCAAAGTGAATGGTGAACGAATGGTGAACGCAAGATGAATGATTTATTCGGAATGCATCCGATCTTTTCCTTGCATTGAAATTATTCTATTATTCTATAATTCTAATTTCAGGTGCTTTGATATAAATAAACAATAGATAAATAAATAATTAAAAATAATAATAAAAACAGTTTTTTTTGTGCACATACCTATGTTTTAAAGCGATATTTAAATAATATAATTTTAATTGCCGTAAAACATGTGTATTTGTTACCAAACGCATGTAATCTTAATGTAAATTTATCTACTTATATAGTAAATATGCTTATTTTTTTAGCTAATAAAATAATGTGGACTTTAGAAGATAAAACTATTACTTATAGAATGAATTAATTACATTGTACCCAGTTGAAACAACCATACATGTATTTCCGTGCCAAGGTGATTCTGAGTAAAATAATGGATTTTTTTCTTTTAAATTCACAATTGTCTATTGACGCTTTGCATAAAAACACTCGTATTTTAAAAATCTAATGCAAAATATCCCATATTCATGCGTCATTTTTATTCTTTGATATGATGATTATTTTATTATTTTAACTTCTACATCTATGGCCGTGATTATACTCAGACAAGATGATGGAAAGAGGCATTCAAATTATTTGTAATAGATTAAATTTTCAAAACTAAATAAATAATGTGCTGTCATAGTTTTTATTGAACAGAGAAATGTACGAGAGAGAGAGTGAGTGAGAGAGAGAGATACCCCCCTCCATTCTCAGATATCTATTGTATCAAAATAAAGATTCTATTTTTTCCCTAAATATTTCAAGCAGTAAAAGTAATCAAATTTTTAAGATTAACAAATCCATTTAACAGTATCGTAATTTTCGGATAATAGGTCGATGGGGTATATAGGTCGGAAGGCTTATTTTCAGCCTTAATTTTTGAAAAATCCTAAGATAGGACGAACTTACTATATAGGACGAGACTTTGTTTCCCGTTTTCTAAAGATTCTTACGCAGATACAACGTATCAGAACAAGTAAACCTCTAAAATTACCGGGGTAATTCCGTGACATGAACGTATCAAGAAAATAAACGGGTATTTTAATGAGTACAGCATTTAAATAAAGTTTTTAAAAAAATGTACTTAGTTAAAACTTCTTTGAATTGTGTTACTACTTATTTTTCTCCAACTTGCCTGTTCAATGCCTCCGTAGTTTCATACTGTTGTTAAACCACAGGCATAAATAACACGTAAATACGTTCTTATTTTACAGCTAGAATTCGGGAAATACCCGAGATCAAAGAATAATAATTCTGATTTCAGAACAACTTGGACACATTCCTAATATATTTTATGCAGACATTATTTACCGGTGGACGACAATTGCTTCGATGTCCACCATTTTCATTTTTGTTCTTCAGGGATTTGCTAAAACCCGCAAACGACCATTGAATGTATATATAAAGCAACAGTAAAGAATTGAAATAATTAATATTACCACACTATAAGTTTAATTTATAAATTTAATTGAGAGTACTGGTACTTCCACAATTTGACAGTCATTATGAATTTCATGGCTTTGTTTGTTCAATGATGTGTAACACATATACCCTATAACGGCATGTGGATTTGCTAATCATGCCCTGCGGGTATTAAACCAACACAGGTGTTAAAACCTTTGCGTGTACACACAGTGTAAATCCTTTTATCTGTCAGACAATTAAAATTCTGTTAGAAGCCAATCTTTGTATAGCGGTAATTCAGTGTACTTCTTGTGTACAAAGAAGCTTTTCCATATTTCAAATTTTGATACGGTTGCGGTTTTACTTTTAGTAAACGGTAGCGACTTCCTAACTTCACAAGATGGCTACCTTATGATGGCAATGGATAACACGTTGAGGAATTATTTACTTGATGAAGCACAGTTTTTTCCTTTGTCATCAACGGATATTTGATGGAATTTATTTTGTAAGAAAGCTATAGAATAAATATTTTATTGTTTACCTGGGCATTAATTTTTCTGTGTAAAATAATGAAAAAAGTTATGAAAGTGGCACAGATTTGCTTTGAAATTGATGTAAATTTTATTGATTTTGGGGCATTTTTCGTAAACTTGAGCCTTTGAAAGGTGGAATTCGTATATTGGGCGACCCCAGTGGTTCTGAGAAAAAAAGTATCGACCTATTATCCGAAAATTACGGTAATCATCGGCTTTTATTTTCCATCTTCAACTTCACACAGTTCACAAGAAGTCCACGTCCTTGTCCTGTCAGTCAAAATAATTCAGCACAGTGGAGGTGTGGAAATCTCGTTTCACAGAGCATGCCAAAGGCAAAGTGTCACTAAGTATTTCCAAGAAGTTTTAATATTTTTCCCTATCATTTCTAGATCTGATTTTTGCATTCCTGCAGAAAAGAAATAAATTAAAAATAATGGGAATATATACTTGGAAGGATTAAGTTTGAAATTGAATTTGAAACATATTCCCTGTCAATTTAAAATACTACTGTCGGCACATGTATATTTTGAAATACTGTAGATCACTATATTTTCGCGGCACCTTATTTTCGCGAATTAGCTATGTGGTATTTATAAGCGAGACAAAATTTTAGCGAGTTGTGGTTTCTGTTTTATATAAATATTACAAATATAAGTGAGAATAAAATTTTCGCGAGCGGACAGACTCACGTAATTACATGAAAATAAAGTTCTCGTGAACAAAAAGTGTTTTACAGTACTATTGTTTAATGACTGATGTTCATTTTAAGACTGATTTTCTTGTGTTACAATACACATTAAATGTCAATTAAAATATTCTGGTCTGGATATACTAACTAAGAATTTGATATCGGGAGAAAAGGCGCCGGGGGCTCTTAATTATACTGAATATATATTTAGATAGATATATTTAGATATATTTAGATATATATATATAGATATATTTAGGTACGATGAATGAAGGAATTTTCCCTCTCTAATAATAAACTTAACGTAAAGTACAAAATATTCTAATGTATAACATTTTAAACAGTTGGTCTTTCCTAAAATTTAAAATCACGCTATTAATTTAATTAGCTCTAGAGATATTTAATTAACTGAATGTCAGCAGTACTGTTCATAATTCTCAGACCTACATGTAGTTCTAATATGTTTTCGTGCATTTTTTTTTAAAATGCGGGTTAGAAATATTTTTTTTGTGTTTTCTTTTCTTGTAAAAGACTTGGATTATTATCCATCCATTAATGATTTGTCGTCTTTTGCGTAACAACAAGATGTCACCATGCGTGAAGCATTTGTGCATTTCCCTTTTTTTGAATTTAATATTTTAGCATCGTTCTACATACATGTAGGTACTTAGTGTATTATTTTCCAGGTAAATTTCACGGATAAATTAACAGCTAAATTATAATAATAGAAATATATAAATATCATAGATAATTTTTGCAATGAAATAATTATTCTTCAAACACGATATCTTAGTTATTTAATTAAAAAACGTGTAAATCCTAACCATCAATAAGATAAGTCCTTTCACTTCGGAGTTCCGAATGACAATGAAGACTGAAGGATAGGTGAACGGTGAATGCAAGGTGAACGCAAAGTAAACAGAACGAAGAACGAATGCTGAACGTTTTGTGAACGGTGAATGCAAGTGGACGGTGAACGCAAAACTGTGAACGGAGAGCAAACGGTGAACACATGCTGAACGAACGGAAAAATGGGAAAGTAGAACGTTTCAGGGACTGTAAATATATTTTCATTCCCAAGTAACTATAAGCCCTAACTGAACCAAACTTGCATGGATGATGCATCTAGGGATAAACACAACCAGACTTGCTTCAGATCTGGATCTGACCTATATTTTCATTCCCAAGTAACTATAAGCTCTACCTGAACCAAACTTGCATGGATGATGCATCTAGGGATAGACACTACCAGACTTGCTTCAGATGCTGGATCTGACCTATATTTTCATTCCCAAGTAACTATAAGCCCTACCTGAACCAAACTTGCATGGATGATGCATCTAGGGATGGACACTACCAGACTTGCTTCAGATGCTTTATCTGACCTATATTTTCCAAGCAAGAGACCAGGTTAAAGTTTTGGAAACAGATCTATCCCAGTGAATTTGAAGTTCTTGATATCTACAGTATTAACAAAGTTTTGAATATTTGTTCACACTATGCATGTTTTTTTCACGCTACATGTGTAGAAATGTGTATATGCCACGTAAGGGGTTAAAAACAACTTTCAAGAATATTGTTGTTGGGATAAATACTAAATATGATGTGAGATTTGTATTTAACTTACACTGATAACATTCGTCGAGGTGAGCTTCGTAATCTTTGATTACCTATGTTTTATTAAAGACATCATTTCTAGACATTTTTATCAATTTTCATATGTTGATACATACTGATGAAAGATGTGCAACTGCATCAACATTTCTGACCTTGACCTTTCCTTTGACCTTGACTTCACTTTTCCTAAATCAGTGTCAAACTTGCTGATACATACTGATGTAAGCAATTCAACTGCATCAACAATTTTGACCTTGACCTTTTATTTGACCTTGACTTCACTTTTATCAAATTGTGTATAAGTCAGTCTTTAATTAAAGACATCATTTCTTGATATTTTTAACTTCTTATGTTGATACATTTTGATGAGAGATATGCAACTGCATCAACATTTTTGACCTTGACCTTTGCTTTAACATTGACCTCACTTTTCCTAAATTAGTGTCAAACGTCATAAGCTGATAGATATTGAGGTAAGCATTTCAAGTGTTTCATCATTTTTTACCTTTTCCTTTCATTTGACCTTGACCTAACTTTTATCCATTTTTGTTCAAGTCGGTTTTAAAAAAACATTTATAATTATATTTTCAGCTTCATTTGCTGATACTTACTGATGAGAGCTTTTAAACTGAATCAACAGTTTTTGACCTTGGTATTTCCTTTGACCTTAACCTCATTTAATGAAATTAGTGTCAATCTTCATATGCTGATACATACTAATGTAAACAATTCAACTGCATCACTATTCAAGATATTCTGATCAAATTTTGTACACATACAAATTTTCATGTTGCTTTACTAATATATCCTCGGTGGGGCATTCATGTCCTATGGACATATTTCTAGTTTAACGGGTAATTCAGATATCCGGATGCTTCACATATCCGAACAATTGACTAGGAACCAAAGCGTCCGGTTAAATGAGGCTCCACTGTATACCACTGGGCCAGGAAAGCTGAAACTTACATGGAAGCATTCTTAGGTAGTGTAGATTTTAAATTGATAAACCATGACCTCCAGGGGTAGGGCGGGGCCACAATAGGGAATCCAAGTTTTACATTTATATTTATCCTAATTTTTATTTAAAAATCTTCATCTCAAGAATCAAAAAGCCAAGAAAGCTGAAACTTTTGTGGAAGCATCCTCGGGCAGTAAAGATTTAAAATTGTTAAAATCATGACCCCTGGGGGAAGGGCAGGGCAATAATAGGGAATCCAAGTTTTACATAGAATGAAATATATATGAAAAATCTTTAAAAATCTTCTTCTCAAGAACCACTGGGCCAGGATAGCTGAAACTTATGTGGAAGCATCCTTCAGTAGTGTAGATTTTAAACTGATAAAATCATGACCGCCGAGGGTAGGGCGGGGCCACAATAGGGAATCCAAGTTTTACTTAGAAATAGATATGAAAAATCTTAAAAAATCTTATTTTCAAGAAACACAGGGCCAGGAAACTTATGGAAGCACCCTAGGGTAGTGTAGATTCGAAAGTATTAAAAATCATGACAGGGGAGAAGGGTAGGGGACCACAATAGGTATAACAAGAGGGGAAGTCTGGTCAAGAACTGCATCACCCAAGTTTTTCAGGTGAGCGATCAGTGGCCCATGGGCCTCTTGTTTTTGTCATAAAAAAATGAATCTTCAAGCACGGTAACTTAGTAATTAAATTAAAAAATGTGTACGTGTAAATCCTTACCATCAAAAAGGTAAGTCCTTTCACTTCGGAGTTCCAAATGACAATAAAGACTGAACGATAAGTAAACGCTGAACGCAAGCTGAACACAAAGTAAACGGAATGAAGAGCGAACGGTGAACGCGAGCGCATGGTGTACAGTGAGCGCAAAACTGTGAACGGAGAGCAAATGGTGAATGCACGCTGAACGAACGGTGAATGCATGCTGAAGGAGCGGTGAGCGAATGGAAGAATGGGAAAGTAGAATGTTTCAGGGACTGTAATAAAGTCAAAGTCAACCTTTTACATAAAAATAAAGTTTAATCATAACTGGCGACCTTTCTGACATTAGGATTTCAAACTTGGAACAAGTAAAGACAACATTAAGACTAAATGCACTGCATCAAAATGTTTCACCTTGCTGGCTTTCTTCATGCAAGGTCAAATCGAGAAAAACAAGACCAGACCATAAATTATAAGATCCTTTTGACTTATGCCCTGTTCACACGGATAGTTTAATTCGCAGTAAATTTAGGCGAAGTAAACTAATGCGAATCAAACTAATGTGAATTAAATTGCGTTCACACGACAGCTAATACGAAGTAAACTCATGTGAATTAAAATTTTACTTCTGCAGCCTGGCATCAGCACGGCTATTATGATGTCATTTGCAAATCATGTCACCTTATGCAGAAGCAGATCCATTTGACATAATGGAAAAGTGTATGTATACACATTTTAATGAAAAACAAAATATTCCGTAGTTTTTCACTCAAAAATAGCACAAGTACCTATAGCTGACCACCGATAAGTGGAATTTTACTAAATTTTGCCATTACGCATGCATCAAAATTTAATTCGAATTAGCTTCGCTTAGCATTCACATGGAGCTAATGCGAAGTAATTTAATGCGCAGTAAACTAATTTGAATTAAACTAATTCACATTAAATTCTCTGTGTGAACGCTAAGTGAAGCTAATTCGCAGTAACTTTACGTTTAATTCGAATTAAACTCGTCGTGTGAACAGGGCATTAAAGACTTGAAAGATGCACTGCATTAGTATTTTTGGCCCTGATTGTAAAATTGCACTTGTTAATTTGATAAAGAAGGGACCCACTAATTTTACATATTTTATCATTTTTGGATTTTTTTTTCAGGCATCAACTCCATCCTGTGTTGATATCAATGAAAAATTAGATGCAACAATGAGAACTTCTGAAATGTGGGAGGCTCATGCAGTGAGTTTGGTTCTAAACCCCTTAAAGCTAAATAAGACTCCTAAACAAATTAATTGGCCTATTCCCAAGACGAAGCTCAAAATATAAAAATTTTCCATACAGAAAAATTTATTAAATACAAACTTCAGTTTTAACTTCAATTTAACTTTTTGCAAAAATTAGCTCAGAAAATGAAAAGTGAAAAAATGAAAAGAAAATGCAGAATAAATGTGAAATAGAGGCAATTAAATTGTAATGGTCAGTGTTGTATATTGCAGATTATTGGTGCTGATCAGTTTTACAGAGAGTGTATTGTGGACAAAATGGGTTTCCAGCTGACAGGATATGACACAGCTCTGGCGTATGGCTGGGAAATTCCTGTGTATCCTTATGATTTCTATACAGTAAAACACAGTAATAGCAGTGATTTTTATTCCATATTGTATTCATGCAGGCATGAAATGAACTTATGCAATATAACAAAGTACATTAATAATAAACCTCAAAAGGCATTTTGCTGTAAGCATGTTTTACTGCATACAATAGGAACTAGTGCAGATGTGTATGAACAATGCAGATGGTAAAGCAGCAAAGCTAAAGTGGTAATTCAAAATTAAGTTATAATTTTCAATAACAACTGTTGAATATTAAGATTCATTAATGCATTGTTTAAGTCTCCAAGTACATGTATATATAAAAATTATCTAAAAAGAAAATTTCGTTTTCTTGAATTATTATTAGATATGAACAGATTTTTCTGGATGCCTTGCCAGCAGATGAAAAACCTCTAAAACCTGAAAAGTATGTAAACCCTCTAAATCCAAGCAAATCCAAGTG